TTGGAATCACTAACTGGACCATCAGCAATGTTATTACCTCCTCTGATGACTTTGTTACCTCCAATGCTGACAAGCACAACACTCTTACATTCCCCTGGCTACAAGATTAAATATTTTTCCATTAATGATTTGTAATCTAATAAATGAATTAGTTCAACTTCTAAACATGTTTAGGCTGCCCACATTGGCAATGAATAAAAATTGATTAAGATGAAAAAATTCAATGAACTATACATATAAATTACTATGACAAATTTTAAATTTGACAACAAAGATTCCACCTCAAAGCGTGTGGCATTCCCAGCAGCTATATTGAGGCGCATGCCATATGCTTTCCTTCGATCAAAGGTTAAGTTAGGATTTACTTCAATAAAATGATAGTGGCTGCCAACCTGAAAACATTCAGAAGTATTATAAAAGGATTGCTATATTTAACTTAGTTTTATGTAGGAAAAGGAAACAGCTAATAGATTTAGCTGGAATGTTTAAAACAATAAATTTTTATTATGTTAATATTTGACAAGCTTCAATAATTAATATTAAAATTGACAAAAAAGGTTCAAAAGCTTCTATTTCCGGGAATAAGTATGGCCAATTTCCGGGTCAGAGAGGTTAGATACACATTCAAATACAAATCTTCAGAAAAATCTTGAAAACCACATAAATCCTCTAATAATTTATCAGAAACGATAGCACTTCGTGTAAATAGAGCATAATCCAAGCATTTTTATACGGAAAAGATGAATTTATCATTTTAAAGCAAAAGAAACAAAAATGAAAAGTGCTAGGAGCTACACACAGGCAAACACCTGAATTGGCCTGTCTCCATTGTTGACAACTCTGAGAATTATTGCATTCCTTCCAGGGTTAAGAATCAGATTTTCACCTCTAAATATTATTTCTCCTGGAATTCTATGATCTTCATCAATCTCAGTAAACTTGTAGATTGAAGGTACTGTAAACACAGTTTCCACCCATAAGAGAGATACTAACGTGAGTTGAGGCTTCAATTTGAGGTTCTGTAAGTCAACTTTAACATAAAATTTGAAACGACATGGTAGAAGATTGCAAAATTTCACTCTGAACATTATTTTACTACTGCTAGATATTTTGGGTATACAAGACCCAGAAAGGAATAAAAATTAATTTATCTATATGTTTTCCCGGAGTCCTACTTGTAAAAAAGATAATATAACCAATACGTTGATGTGCATGAGTTGATTTTAAAAACTTAATTTATTCGCCTTCTTATCCTATAACAGTATTTACAGGAAAGTTTATCTGAATAAGTTCTAAATCATCTGTTTTGACAACAACGTAGAGACATACCTGGAAGAAAAGAACCAAATAATGCTAGTTCAAGGTTTCCATTCTCGCAAACGATTGGATCATGAATGGTAACTAACTTGGTCCCATCATGAAAGGTGGCTTCAACCTACATTCAATTTTACTTAAAAACATTATGGCAAATTTTTCTTTCTGAGGATGGGGAAAACAAAATAATTTTTACAACAAATATTGAGCTAAACCCTTTTCAAGATTTAAGATAAAAAAAAAATGGTTAAAGGGGAGGGACCACAAAAAATAGATTTTTGAAATTGAAAGAATTATTTTACAATTATTCTTGGCATGAAACATTGAAGGCCTCTTGTAGTAACATATTGACTGAATATCTAACTTCATGCAAAATGCACAAAGCTATAACCACATTGCCATAATGATACATGTACCTGAACACTTTCCACCAGATGTCGAACAGCTGGAAGAACTTGTCGCCTGTTAAAGTATGAAGAAAATTGACATCTGATCTAAACTAAAAAATGGTTCATGGTTCCTTCTCTAAGGCACAAACAGAATTATATCAAGTTAAAGAGAAGAAACTATCATCCAGGAAGTGCAGAACAAAACAGTTACAGAACACAGAATCAGAACCAGAAAATGAAAATGAAATTAACACGATACCTTCCCAGAAGTTTTCTCCCAATGGACATTAACTGTGCAACAGTCTTCTCGCCATCACGAGCAAATTCCAAAATCTATGCAACAGAAAAGATAATAACATGCATACAAATAAAATTAATTTCCAAAAGGATTTACACCAAAAAGAAAAAAAAAGACATTGCCTATCATATAACATATATTTTAACATGGAAATTTTTTTTTGAAAGGGTTTAAAATTTACACCAAAGAGGAACAGAAGCAAACCTGTGTTGCTATGAGAGCCACAGTTTCAACATAATTGAGTCTTAAACCACGAGCAAGGCGTTTCTGTGCAAGGTAACCAGCATTGTGTAGGTCTAGTTTCTCGATCTCCCTTGGACTTAGTTTCATTTTTCAACCTAAGCAAGGACCTGAAGAAAACACAAAAAACAGCAAAAATTACTGGTTCACGAATGATAACTACAACCATAAACTCGAAGAAGCATGTTTGACGAAAAGCGAAGCACAAGATTTATGGCTCTTACGCCGCACTTCAAAGAGTTAAACTTAATAATACAGTGTGATTGACAAATTTTGGTTTGTTTGAGGAAGAAGGAGGATAATTTAGTATTGCATTATGACCTCGAGACTCAGAAGTAATGGCAATGAGAACAACATAAAAGACAAATTTCCGTACCATGGGCCTCTGTGCCAACTGTTATAAGTTTATTTTAGGCATTAAAAATAGGATAGAGTCAGCAACTGAATACTAGTAAATAAACCTGCAATATTCTAAGAAGTGAAGAGATCTATCTGGTGAGGGTTGTGCTTTGTATAATTACAATTTTTTTTAATATAATATTTGTATTTTGATAATAATAATAATAATAATAATAATAATAATAAATAGTTAACGTTTATCTAGTTATTAATTTATATATTTCCTTCAATTTTTTTTAACTTACAATTTGATAACAAAAATTACGTAATGAAAAATACAAACAGTCACATTTGTAAGCACTTTCACGTCTATGTAATTACGTTTATATTAAATTTTTTTTTTAAATAGATTAAACTTAATATAAAATTTTTTACAAATTTATTTATCTTGCATTAACATATAATAATTTTTAAAAGAGTTGAGAGATATAAAGGAAAAAATAATCTATAATAATAATTAAAAAATTAATATAATAAATTTAAAAGTTGTAACTGTTATTCAGTTTCTTTCAACAGAATCTGTTTGCAGTTATATGTATAGTATTGATATAAAATTATTGTTTATATAATTGAAAATTAGAGAATAATGAGTTGATAAGAAAAATGCACAAAGTTGTGAATATAACAACATACTTAATTATGTTGTTTAACTAAATTACTGTTTCTAATGGTTATATTAATTATAAGACTTTTTATTATAGTAATAATAATAATAAATATTTTTTAAAATTAATAATAAATAATTTATTGATAATAAAATATAAATTAAAAATTATTTTTAAATATTTGTTTTCATTTTTTTCTAATAAAATAGCATATCTTTACTCTTTTCTTCTTTTTCTTTCTATCATTTTCTTTTTTTCTTCTGTCAGGCTAAACATAAATTTTGTGACCAAGAGATCCATCCCGAGTAAGACTGGCCCAATGAAGGCACTTTAATATCTTTTAAATTCAGATAGATTTTAAGTTCCCTAAAGCACTGTCACTTTTCTAAATACTAGGGTATTACCTTGTAGGAAAATTACATATAATGTTTTTTATGAATTAAAATTAATACATGCATATTTAATTTATAAAATTAATTTTAGATTATGAAAAAAAATATTTTACTTTTCTCTTATAAATATTTATAAATAATAATTTAAAATACTCTTATTTTATATATATATATATATATATATATATAAAGGATTTGTAAATATCTTTTTGAGTATGTGAGATGTCAAAATAAATTTACTATGATCCAAAAGTTTTATATTAGATAAAAAAAGAAAATTTTGATAAATGAAAATGAATGAGATTTATTTTAAATTATTTTATTTTATTATAATATTATATATATTATAAATTAATTTGATAAAGTATTTAATTATTTTAAAAATAAATATAAGAAAAATATATAATATTTATTTATTTTATAATTTAATTATTACGATGAATGGTTATATTAGATTAATAAATTTTTAAATCAATGAAGGATATATTTTAATTCTTATTTTGGAATTAAATTATTTTATTTTCTTATAATTTATATATTAAATTATTTATTTTTAAAAAAATTAATTTTATTAATATAATTAAATTTTAAAATTATTTTTTATTTAAATATTTTTAATTAATTATTTTGATTTAGACACGTTAATAATTTTTAAAAAAATTTAATTAAACCAAAATTAACTCATTAGTATATTAATCTAACATAACAATATAACAACTCAAAAATTCTTAGGCCAAACCATTAATTTCTTTTAATTAATCTGTAAAATCAAGTGAAACTAGGTTAAATAGTTCATTTTCAGAGTTATATAAAAAAAAGTAAAAGAAAAAGAAATAAATTAAAAAAGTGTAAATGAAAAAAAGAAAAGATAAATTTGAATAATATATTAAACATAATAGTTATACATATATAGGATAATATGATTTTACATATAGAATAAATCATGTTTAAATTGTTTAATCTTATATTATATAATTCACATTTTTATTTAAATTTTAATTAATATAATATTTTAAAATATAATAAAGGAGATGAGTTTAACTTTGTTAAAAACATAAACTAATAACTATCAATTTATAAAAGGGGAATGTCTATTTAAAAAAAAAAAGTTATCAGTGTGACTTTATTAAAAATATAATATATTTTGTATATTTTAAAATTAAAAATAGTGTTAGTATCACTTAACAAGGTAGGTATGATTTGTTCTTTTACATTTTGTAGACTTTAAATTTTTGAAAAATCTCATTGTCGTTAATCACTAATAACATGACATACTATTAGATGTATAAAGCAGAATTTGATGTACACCATGAACACAAGAACTTCCACACCCTTTGTCTAAGTTTTTCAAGCTGTGGTCCCTTCAAACGTCATGAGCTCTTCTACCAAGAATGGCTTCTCTGGTTACTAATTTAATCCCTCTTACCCACAAGTCAGCCATCTGAACCCCACCTTCACACACAAAATGTACCTGCTTATTCTTTGTTGTAATTACATGGAACATTCCCGGTTCATCCACATCCAACTTCCTCCTACGATTCGATCGAAATTTCACACTAGGTCCAACCTCAGCCTCTTTACAAATCACATTTCTCTTACTTGATTTTCCCCAACGTAAGATTCCAACAGCACCAATCATCACTAGTGACTTACCATGAGGTGAACCTTTGCCACACTTTGTATGCTTCTTCACACGAGCTCCACACAAGACTAGTCTTCTACCTAGCTCATCCAAAATCACACGTTCAGCATCATTTCCTGAACCATTTTCTCTGGAAAGTGAAAGGGCTGTCTCATGTCTCTCATTCTGAATATCACATTTAGCTCCGTATGAGATCAAAAGCGCACACATTTCACCACGGCATCCTCTTGCTGCTAACATCAAAGGGGTATATCCTTGACCATCAAAAGCATTTACTTCATACCCTTCTTTTAGTAGTTTGTGCACAATGTTTATGTCTCCGTAGCAAGCTGCACGGTGGAGAGGGTTTCCATCAATTGAACCATTGCCTCCCCTTTTAAGTGCATATTCGAGCATCACCTTGTGGAACAGTTCACCATTTTGGCTCAAGTCTATGAGGTTCAGTACTGTTAAACCATATCTGTTTTTAAGCTTAGTAACGTCAGCCCCTGCATAAAGAAGCAACTTGAAAGCCTCCACGTATCCCCCCACGGCAGCTACCATAGCAGCAGAAAAACCATTAGCATTTTGCTCATTCAGATTGATGTTCCCATTTTCGATGAGTTTCTTCAAACCCTCTATGTCATTTGCACGAGTTACTAATAACAAAGGGGAGAATCTAGCGGCATTGCTTGATTTAACAACCTTCCCGGATCTGATTACATCCAAGATTGCTTTCTGGTAGACTTTAGTCCACTGAACAAGGTGTGCAATTGAAGTTGCACAGTGACCAGATGAATTTACCATTCCCAAATCAGCACCTGCTGATGCTAGGACCCCAAGGCACTTCTCATGTTTGTGCCTTGTGCAGATCATCAATGCTGTATCTCCACATTTTGATTGGGAATCCAAGTTACAACCACCATTAATCAGGTTCTGAAGAATGTTGCATGATCCAAGCCGTGCAGCAATGTGAATTGGGTGTTCATTGGTTTCTTCGGTGGTTTGCACAATCAGTTCTGCATCAGCACCATTGTTTAGAAGTATATGTACTGCTTTTTCATTGTTACAAATGATAGCATGGTGCAATAGACTCCTCCCAATGTGTAAGCTATTAGGCGAGAGATGGCGGAGCAACATATGCAATATAGCACCAGTGGATTCAAAATACTCCACAGCACACCAGGTGATTGGATAAGCCTCAGCTAGTCCAACACCTACTCGAAATTCTTCTCCTGTGTCTCTGTCCCACGACCAAGCCCCCACTTTGACCTTCATATCAAGCCCAACGCCAACCTGTTTCCGAAAGCATAAATGATTATGATTATACCACAGAAAACAAGTGTACTCGATGCCAAAATATGACAAACACAATTAGATTCGTATGCAGATCAGTATATATAATCATCAATGGGACTAATTGCAGAAGCATCATAATATCCCATAGGGTAGAAATAAAAGATGTTGCCGAAGATGATGCTTAATTGTGCCCTTTTCATTTTTTTTCGTATGGCAGAGCAATTTGGTAGAATTACCAGTAATGAATACATTTTGATCATGCAAGTGTCTCTCAACCCATTGCAAGACATGAAACATCGATGAAGTTTTCTCACATTCTAACGATACGACCCAAGAGAAAAAAAGGACTTGCTAACCAAATACCAATATTACTTTCAGAAACCAGACATGTTTATTCCATCTGAAGATTACTTATGTAAGTCAGAGAAGCCCACCTGCAACAGTAATCTAACAACATTAATCTGCCTGCTGACCACAGCAGCAAATAATGCATTGCAATCAACATTAGCATGAAGAAATGGCTTTGAAGATTGAAGCAAAGTCCTATCAATTGCATCGGCATCCACTCCTTGCTGCCAACATATAGAGCAGTGTCATTCAATAATCAAATATAATATTTTGCATACATGAGAAGCTACACTTATCACATCCACAAATATAACACACTACACAGTCCATATGATTATCAGGCATAATGGTGTTACCTTGATGAGTACATCAACAACCTCAACGAAGCCTCTGCAACAGGCAGAGACAAGGGCATGAACTGCAATTTGAGGACGAATCATGTTGGACTGCATGAGTAGTTCAGCAAATCTCGCCCTCCCCATATAGCTTGCTTCCATTAAAGCCTCCTCGCATGCATGTTGTGATGCCCCAGCATTGATAAGGACCTCCAACACTTTTAGATGCCCTTCTCTCACCGATGCTGTTGTGGCATAGCCCCGGAACATTCTCATATTTACATTAGCTCCAACATTCTATCACATAAAAACGTTTAACCTAAGTTTGTTATGAGTGACAAGACTTAAAAGCTACATGAATAAAAAAGATCTACCACGTGAGCTACATGAATACAAATTATTCTATTATTATTAGCTTGATTCGCTTATCAGGCTTTTACAAGGAGATTGAACACTCTCAGCACACCATACTATCCCCTACAGAGTTGATAAGATCTAATTTAAGGGGACAAGAAAAGACTTCAAACTGCATCATTATTAACCAATATGTCATGGACTAACTTAAACACTATAAAATACAATTTTCTATTAAACACATGACACCACAACTAAAACTTTCCAACTTATTTTTACAAATATTTCAGAGTTAAAAAGCAAATTTGTGAAAAATAAATAAACAAATAAAAGATATTGTTCCTGCATCGTCTTTAGAGTAATGTCAGTTAAGGTGTCTAACATATATTGATGAATGTCTCATAACAACATTAAATGTGTTTTGGTTAAAAAATTCAGATAAGATTAATTTGAGAGCTGACCTATTATCCGAAAGAATAAGGAATGAAAGTAAAAAAAATATATATATCAAAATCAACGCAACCCACAATTTGGATGTCTAAGCTAAATCAAATTATTTGCATCACAAGTCAGCTTAGATTTGTATGTCTTTAACATAACGCCATTTTTGTACAAAAGTTTAATTGTACTGAGCCAGTCAAACGTTTCATGAGTAAACTAGACATTTGACATCGTTAATATACGCAAATGACTCCTTCAACTTTAAAATTTTTGTGAAAAGTATACTGAGCAGAGACTCTGTACACTAAGACAGTAATTGGGCAAAAGAATTTATTAAATTTTATAATAATTATCTTAAAACTATACTTATCATATTTTTTAATTTATTAATAGCATAAAGTTTACTTCAAAGACCATACATAAATTTTAAACTTGATATCCAGTTCCTCCGGAATAGTCACATGACTCGTGATTAAAAAAATTAAGAGACGAGGATATATATAATTAATATTATTAAAAAATTAAGATAATTATGTATATGACATGACATTAACGGCTCTCTTTAAATAAAGAGTTTCATCTTTTATTTTTTTAATTTTTTTTCAACAATTCATGAAATAATTGGTTACTTTCTTATCTAACTTGATTAGTTTGAAATTCACTTTAAATATATATATATATATATATATATATATATATATATATATATATATATATATATTTCAGTTTCGTAAGTTTTGATTTTGGGAATAAAAAAAAAACTTTATATTATCTAAATATTAAAATCAATTTTCATTCCAATAAGATAACTAAATTTTGATTTTATATTTCATAAAAATCCATCAACCTAAAATCTGAAATAATTATTTTTATTTTTAATATTTATTTTAAATTAAAATAATAAAAAATCATAGAAATATCACGTGATACTCCACACGCTATTTTGTGTTACCTGGCATTTTCATTTTGTAAAGAGTAAAAGTTAACAAGTAAACGAGAAAAACATTATAATAAAAACAAAAAAAATTAGCGATTTGGTTTACTTCATCAATTTCAAGAAAGAAAATCCAATAACTTCTTTTGCAAAAAGAAAAAAAAATCAAGAGAATGAAATGGTCTTTATGAAGATACTATGTACTGCATAATTTGGCTTAGTTCTTCGATCTCAAATTCTCGTGATTTGATAACGAATTGGTTTTCAAAAACTGGTTGATCAATCAAAGGTGAGCAAAACAAAAACAAAACGAGCATTAACATTCCCAATCACACACCAGGCAAAAGCAGGCACGGAGGTACCAACCAAAACAACAAGCGAAACATTTGCAAACAACAAAACTGAAACGACTGTCAGAATAACTTCATTGAATTGCTTCAAATGCTTCGACGTCGTTTTAAGAAACGAATCACAACAAAACACAAGGAAAAACAGCGTTGAGAAGAGTTACCAGAAGCTTCCGAATGAGTGTCAAATTCCCCGTGTGCGCGGCCAGGAACAGAGCGGTGAGCTCGGTCTTGAACTCCTCGTACGCCGTGCTAACTCGGTGAGGCGACTCGTCCTGCAGCACGATCTCCGTCGTTTTGGACTTAAACGACACCGTTCCGAAGAAGTTAACGTCGACAGAGGGATTGGCGACACAATCAAACGCAGCGTCGGTGTCGCCGTAATGAGCAGCGTCGACAAGACGCTGCGATACCTCGGTTTCGTAGTCGACGGGAAAAACCTGTTTCCGAAGGCCCGAACCAGAATTTGCCAGAACCATCATTTCTTTGTTCTTTTCCTGGGAACCTACGAATTTTCGTGTTTTGTTTTGCGAATGAATGTTGTAACTGGCTGTAACCAGGTACACAGCAGGGACTGCATGTTTTTATATGCTTGGAAACGTTTCGTTTCGTTTCGCTTTAAGAAGCTTTGTCTTCAGCAACTAAATAAATGAATTTTTAATTTAAATAATTACAGTTTGGGTTTTGGCTGGGTGTGGTTGAATTTTTTTGACCTGGCTTTGGGAAGATTATTTGGTAATTGGTTGTTGGACCTACAATTTTTATCATCCTTCTTGATGCTATTGGTATACCGGTTTTACTCATTGTGGAGGGTAATCAGAGCTTTACAAAATTATTATTATTATTATTATTATTATTATTATTATTATTATTATTATTTATCAAAGCTTATTATACATATTTCTTATATTCATTTCATATTATGTTCCAGTGAAAAGAAAAAATAGTTATTTAATTTAATTGTTATTTTACAAAATTAATATTGTATTAAATACTTGTTTTTTTCTAAAACTACATTAATCAATACTTTATCCATTAAAAATAAATAAGTAATTAATTAGTTAAATAATTGTATTTCTTAATACATGTGACAAAATTTTAACCATGATATAAAGTGAAATAGAATATATATAATGAAAAAAATATTTTAGTATGTTTTTTAAAGCAATTATTATCAAAATCAGCAATCTCGTTATACTATTTTACAATTTTGATTGACAAAACTTAATTAATATTTTTTTTCTTAAATGAAAAATATTTTTAAAGAATAAGTTTTTCATTTTTAATTGAGTGTAAGCATGATTTTTTTTATATAATTCGTGATTGGATTGTTCTGAATTTTTTTCAATGATATCAAAGTTAGATGCAATTTTATAATTTTGTTATCTATCAAACAAAATTAAAGTTTCACTTTGACTTTATATTGATATTTAATAAAACTGATTTATATATATATATATATATATATATATATATATATATATATATTATTCACTACAAGAAATATTAAAATTACCGACGATCAAAATCCGTCAGTAATAACAAAAATCCGTCGTAATAATTTTATTAATTATTAAATATTTTACTTATTTATAATATTATTTTTTTTATAGAACCCCTCCCCCTTATATTCTTATTATTTATTTCAATTATTTCTCCATATTATATTTTTATAACTTTGAATTATTGTCGATTAAGAGAAATGTCATTGGCAGGATTGAACCGATCTGTAAATGTAGACGATACTCCAACCACTAAGCTACTGGAATTTCTTGATAACAATTTACAAATAAATTATATTTATATACAAATATACAAATACATTTATATATATTTATATATATTTATATACATTTATATATATTTATATATATTTTTTATATTTTATATATATATATATATATATATATATTTATATATATTTATATATATTTATATATATTTTTATATTTATATATATATTTATATATTTATATATTTATATATTTATATATTTTATATTTTATATTTTATATTTATATATATTTATATATTTATATATTTTTATATTTTATATTTATATATATTTATATATTTTTATATTTTATATTTATATATTTTTATATATTTTTATATTTTTATATATTTATATATATATATATTTATATATTTATATATATTTATATATAATTAAATATTTATTTTTAAAATTACTTAATTTAATAAATTATTATAAATTAATCTAATTATGATTAAATTAAATTATTAAATAACAAATATTTTATTTTTTAATTAGTGAATAATTAAATTATATTATATAATTTTACCACGGATTTATCCGTCGGTAAATAATTTTTAATTTACATATGAATTTACCAGACGGATATATCCATCGATAATTACTTGTTAATTTATCGACAGATTTACAGACGGATATATCCGTCGGTAAATTCATCTATAAATTACAGACGGATTTATCGACGGATATATCCGTCGATAACTAATTATTATTTTACCGACGGATATATCCGTCGGTAACATCAAATTTCACAAATATTTTATATCCGTCGGTAATTTCAGTCGGTAATGATTATTTTCCGACGGCTATAATTCCGTCGGTAAATATCCGTCGGTAATACGCGATTTTCTTGTAGTGATTGAAGTGAACTTTTTTGGTTCCGATAAGAACAACATAAATTACTTTTATAAATTTTGCTTTAAATTTTTTTCTACGAACTTATTGTCAAAATATCACATTTTATTCAATTAAAACAAGAGTAATATGTTTTGATACATATACATAAATATTCAATAAATAAGAGTCTCAATTTCAAAATTATTATTGACAAGATTTCAGTTCTAATATAGACATTTTTGTTTGCAAAATGTGAATATAAAAAAATTAGCAAATCCAGACAGGATAATTCCTAATATTATAATTGAGGCTTGTTTAAATTTTTATTTAAAAACTTCATTAAATTACATAAATATATACCTCTTTAATAAAAAAAATAATAAATAGTCAAAGTTAAGGATTATATGACATAATAAACCCTTTCCCATTTCATTATATGAATGAAAAATAAATAAGAAAATGTTTATTATTTTCCTTTTCAATGATAATCTTTATTTATTTGTATCTTTCTTTACAAAAGTTAAATATTTTACAGCTGCATTCTACTTTCTTCATTCCATTTTATTTATCGCATAAATTTCTTACTTCAATTGATCAAATTATTAATATTAGGTTTTCCTCATGAAATTTGTTTAATTTCCGAATGTACCCCATATTTCTTGTTATAAGAATACTTACGATTACATAATTGTCTTGGTAAGTTGGGAAAAAAATGGTGATATTGTAAAACAATGATAAAAAAGAAAAAATAGATTACTAATTTTTTTTAAGAATAATTCTTGTACTACAAATATTTAGTATAAGTAATATTATTCTTAGGAAGTGTATTGAAAAAACTCATAAATTAAATAAAATAGTAATGAAGTTTAAATAATTAGATGGATAGAAACTATATTTTATATGTTAAAAAAAATGAATAACTATGTATCTTGAGTCTCTTATCATGATTATTTTCCCATATGCACACATGCAAAAAAGAAAATATAAAAAATATTTAAAAACTGAAGCTTACTCATAAACCCTTTAATTTATACAATAATTTGTTATTAATTTTTTCTAAGATTAACTTTTAACTTCTACATAAACTAATATTATAATAAAAAAAATTGTTTTTCTTTTTTTCGTTTAACCTGTTTGTTTTATATTAGAAGTAAAGTTGTGAATTTTAAGATGAGAAAAGGAGAAAGAGATGGGTGAAAGGTGACAAGAAAAGTGGATGTTTTTGCAATTTCCTCACAAATGACAGCACCCTTTTACCATCAACCGGATCTGGCCTGCACTTGTTTTGTTTTCCTCACAAAACAATGTACGAGGAAACTAAAAAATAATACCCCCTTAAACCTTTGACAATGTCTCTCTTTTTTTTTCTTTAGTACAGTGATTCTGACAGTGATTAATAGATAGTTCATCACATGGCTAATAAAATTTTGCTAGTAACACTTCACCTCATTGTATATATGGTTCATTTTTTTTGGGCTAATAATATAATTCTTTAATTATCATAGCAACTAATCTACGTAGTTAGGCTATTTCTCTAGTCTCTTTTTTCTTTTGTCTCCTAAAAGTTGTTTAAAATTTAAACTTTCAATAAGAGATTTAATAATAAAGTAAAAATATTTACTAACTTTTCTATCTCTTTCATTTCAATAAGAGATTTAATAATAAAGTTGTTTATATATATTAATTTTACTTCCTACCCGTCACTTTCATCTGCTAAATGTTGAGTTTTTATTTTTATTTTTTTCTTGTTGACATTCATTAAAATTTTTTATATTTTGGTCTTCGGTAATTTTTTATGGATTCTTGTATAAAATTTATATTTTAGTTGATTTTTAAATGAGTAAATCAACTACCAAATATAACTAATAAGTTATTTTAAAAAAATAATGTGATATATATATATATATATATATATATATATATATATATATATAACGTCGTTTTTTTAAGTTTGTATTTCTTATTTCTTTAAATCTTTCATATTTAATTATGAAACTCAAAAAGGATAAAAAGTATTAGGTAAATGGTTTTGTCTAGATTCTTCGTCTTCCTTGAGTTTCACTTTCGAATAGGAAATATAGAAGAAAAAAAAATTATTTACATCACCTTGATTAATTTATTTCCTAATAACTTCGAGAAGAAAAAAAAGGTATTAGTTTTACTCATATCCCTTTGGGATTTCATCATTGAATAGGAAATATATAAAGGATGCAAACTCTAACTAAAGAAATATGTCATTGTTTTCATTATATTGATATTTTTTTTTCTTTCAAACAAAATAATTTAAAAATATACAAATTTGTTTAATATAATAAAAGTGAATGTGAAATGCGTTACCACTGTGAAATATATATTTTATATCACACAATAAAAGTAGACGTGAAATAATAATGATAATAAAACAAAACTTGTCATAATTTAAAAGTAACTTTGTTGCGATGTTAACTTATGTAGAACTCAATTCGTATATGTTATTATCGAATACAATATATTGGGCAGATAAATAGATGAAAAGGAAATAAATATAAGTTACAGTATGGGTGTTTATTTATTTTAAAATTAAAAATTACAAATATATTTTATTAATTTATAATGATTTAATATACATAATAAATAATTGTTATAACAAAAAAACTGATTACAAGAGATTTGATAAACAAATAACAAAAAAAAATTAGAAGAGAAAAATAGTTTCTCAATCCCTCACGCAATAAAATACATAACGTTAACGAAACAAATTTGATATCACACAATAAAAGAAAACGTAAAATAATAATAACAATAAAACAAAATTTATCATAATTGAAAAGCAACTTCAACGTGATACTTAACTTTAACTTGCATAGAATTCAATCCATATACGTTATATATCAGCGGAATAAAAAGTAAATAAATATCAGTTACTATTTAAATATTGATGTTTATTTATTTTAGAATTAAAAATTTAAATATATTTTATTAATTTGTAATATTTTAATGTACATAATAAATCAAAATAATAAACGTTGTTCGATAACAAAATTCATGACAAGAGAATCGATGAACAAATAAAAAAGACAAAAATTAGAAGAGAAAAATGGTTTTTCCTTCCTCACGCAATGAAATACATAACGTTAACAAAACAAAATTTATAAATTATATCACACAGAAATAGAGAACATGAAATAATGATGACAACAAAACAAAATTTGTCACAATTTAGAAGCAACTTTATTGTGTCGTTTAACTTGCTTGCATAGAACTCTCAAATATGATATATCGGCGAAAAAAAAAGACTAAAAGTATTAGTTAATACTTTTAAAATTAAAACCTAAATATATTCTATTATTTTGTAATAGTTTAATAATAATAATAAATCAAAATGTGAAATTTGTTGGTCCATAAAGAAAAAATATAATAAGTGAGTTGATGACGAAATAAAAGGTAAAAAACTAATGAGAAAAATGAATTCTCAATTTGTTACCTCTTATGAAATACATAATGTTAAAAACGACATTACATATACGTTAATATCTAATTAATATCTAGTATAATAGGTTGACAAAATAAATGAATGAAAAGTAAATAAACAACTTATCTGAATGCAGTTGTTTTGTTTTTAATTAAAGATAAAAAAAATACATATTAATAACTTTTAGTAGTTTAATATACTTGATAAATTAAAATGTTAAACTACGTATAAAAATGACAACAATTACAAAGAGAAAAATAAATCATCAATATATCACAAATTAAATATATAATATTAACAAAATAAATTGTATACCATACCATAAAAGTAAAACATGAAATAAATTATAAAAACGAAAAAAAATTGTATTATATAAAAAAAAAAATCATTTTTTGAAAGCAATCTCAGTGTCCCTATATGATATTACCGGTTTGGTGAAATATATAGACGAATATTAGGTTTAAGATGAAGTAAACAGAGAAAAGTAGAGATCTTTCTCTATTTTCTGTTGTTTGACTTTTTCTTTAATGTAGTTGTCCATCTTTTGGATTTGGATCTTAAGCCTTCTGATCTCCCTTTCTTTGACATGAGACATTCTCCAAAAATGGTGTTTTTTCAATCTTCTTCTAGCCTAGATAGCTCTGAAGAAAGCTGTTTGTAGTTCTTCCTTAAATTGGAGTTGAGATACTGGAGTTTGTCATCAATCTCTTCAAGGTGTGTGAAGATTTTATCTATTTTCTAGTTTATCCGTTGCTGGATAGAGTTTTGGGCTCTGGCATTCTCTGTGTACCAGTTAAGTACTTCCTCTGCCTGACTTAAGGATTTTGGCTTTCCATCAAGGTCGATTTCTTGTCCGATAACATGTGGTCTAGTCGTTGTCTTGGACACTCGATCAACATTCCTCTCAAGAGGAGGAAATTCTTTCCGAAAAAAAAGTCCTTCCTCTTTTAGAATCTCAGCATATCGCTGATATTTACAAGAGGGATCTAGCCTCTCTTGGCGATAGAGTCCTATTCAGGGACCTTTTCTTGGTTCGAATCTTCGACTGGGAGAGAAAGGAGGTCTACAGGACGCACATGTCTGGGTCAGCGTCCTAGATGAAGTGTCCTCCTATCTTATCAATAAAGATAGGTTTGCAGTCAGGGTACACGTTGGAAATGGGAATCTTACTGTTTCTGGTGGAATTTCGATCGATTTCGATTCTAAAGGTGTTTTGGTCCTAATCAAAATCCTCCCACGTAAGTTCTTTTTACTTAGGCTAGCAATTTGACTTTCAATCGAAAATGTGTATAAGAATCGAAAGTTACAGGATATCGAAAATGCTATTTTTTATATTTAAAATACCGAACACAGTAAAAATATTGAATCGAGAAACAGAATATTTAAATTGCGAGGAAATGTAAAGTGCGAAAACCCCAAATTTACATTAATTGTAAATGACAAGAAATCGAAAACAGTGCAAATATAAATGACAGGGAAACTTAAATGCAGAAATTTAAACTTTCATTGAATTGAAATGACAAGGAATCGAAAATACAGAAACATAAAACTGCTGAATTTAAGTTGCATCAAAGTAAATTACCAAGGAAAATACAGAAAGCAGTAAATGTACTCAATGAGCAAGGAAATCCAGATTTCCAGAAGCTTCATGGTGTTCGTCGTTTCTCCGGTAGACTTTTCACTACTGATTCTGTTCTCTGCCAATTTCTGCTCCCCTATTTCTTCCTTCTTTGCTCTATTTATAGTGCATCGTTCAAGTCTTCCAAGAGCAGTTAACACGACTGCTACCACGTTCTACGTGCATATGGCGGTTTATCTTCTACGGTTTCCCACGTTCTCACGATCTTCGATTTCCTCCATGGTTTCGAAACTGCTCTCTATCCGTGCGTTTGACTTACTCTTCTCTTTATGGTTTGACCAAAGTTTTCGATGTCCGTGTAGGTTAGCTTTCTTCATTTTCGATTTTACACTTTCGAGAACTTCGAATTGCTTACGATTCCTTTTCAACCTTAACGTCTTATCATTCTAGTTTCTTAGGTTTTTATTCGACAATAGGCATTTGACTATCATTCCTTCGATTCTCGATTGTATTTCTCGATGTTATGTGTTACGTGCTTAGACATCGAATGGTTTTTTATCTATCTTGATTTATCAGTCACATGTTCTCTCTTTCCTTTCCTTCATTTTCGATCGCTTTTCTCGATTTTCCACTAACAAAATGCCCCCTTGGAAGAATATAAATGATTTCTGTTTATATTCTTTCAATATTCCCGCCTTAGTGTTTGGAGGCCCACAGAACTTAGGGTTTAGGGTTTCTGGGGTTCTAGGGTTAAAAGGGTTTTAGTTTTCCCTTTTGCTTTACATCGCCGTCTCGTCAGTCTGCTGCTTTTACAGTACATGCTACATTTATTACCTTTCACCTCCGTCGTTTCCAGCCCCCTAGGCGATTTTCCCTTTTAAACTCTATTGGTTTTTTACTCTGGTTTTTTACGCGAACTTTTGTCCCTTTACACCTTCATCTTCTTCCTTGAGTTCCTGTCTTCATCCTTGCGCCCCCTCCTTTTATCTTGTTTTCCTCTAATCTCCCTATTACTGAAATGGCAACTTCCTCCAAGTCTTTCGACTTTTCCGCTCCACCTCTTCCTTCGCTGACGGCCAACCTTCTGGAAATCAATAATCAGAAGTTTGCTCCAATCCCTCTGATGGAGGAAGCTTTCTAGAAAGTTGCTGAGACGCAGGTACTCATTCCTTACACTGCTGATAGTGTTAATTTTGGTTTTGGGGGTCCTGTCCGTTCTAGTAGTGAGACTTTTTCTTCCTTCACCCTC